TTTCTGCTAGGTTTTTTTTTTTTTTTTTTCCTCCTGCCTGAATCCAGAGTCAAAAAGACTGTATGGTACAAAGAATAGAATTATCCCTCAACTTATATAAATTTTCCACCATGGGTATCTAGTATTTAGTGGTAACTAGCTTTTATAATAGCATCCTCGACTGTTATAATTGCTCTTAAATGGATAAATGGAGTATAATAGAAAATCTAACATTAGAATTTGAGTTGCTAGTTCTCTTGTGGGTATTCTATCTGTGGAACTTATTAGAATCTAGGACAATTCTAAATTCTAATTGTTAAAAATTTTCTAACTTTCCAATATTCTCTTAGGAGCTAAGAAAGTCATTGGTTCTCAACTCAGGAAATAACTTCCTCCTAGGGAGTTTTTGGGAACATGAGAAGCATTTTTGATCACCCCAGTGGCTGGAGAATACTTCTTGATCACATGTGGCTTGGACCAATTGTGCTAGAAGTCCTTCTAGCACAATGAACAGCCCCTTCTCAAATGTTACTGGACCCTGTTGAGAAACAGTGAGCTAGGTGAGGCAGGCGAATTTACGTCTTTCTATTTTATAGCTGGGAAAGAAGAAAAATTAGAGAAATTTGACCCTCTGGATACAAAATTTGGAAAACAAGACTGGAGTGATATACCAGGTGTAAGAAATAAGGGAGAAAAATGCAAATTTTGCTTATAATGCTATGTGTCAATTTTTAAAATTCTTTTTTAAAACTTTATTTGGAAATAATTTGAGTCACAAGAAGTTGCAAAGCTAGTACAGAGAAGTCGTGGGTACCTTTCATCTAGTTTCCCCCAATGGTTTGAACTTATATAACCATAGTATATCAAAACCAGGAAATTGGCATTGGTACAGGTGTGTATACAGTTCTGTGCCATCTTATCTCATGTGTGGATTGATGTAACCACGACTGCAGTCGAGATGCACAGCTATTCCATCACAAAGACCTTCCTCCCACCCCTGTGCTCCCACGATAGCTAATCCTGACAACCACTAATCCGTTCACCATCTCTAATGACTTTGGTCATTTTGAGAATGCTATCTAAATGGAATCTAAATGGAATCTAAATGGATCAAAAGTGGTCTTGAGATCAAAAGGAAAAGGGTAGTGATGGCGTCTTGCTCTTGCTCAGGCTGGTCTCGAACTCCTAAGTTCAAGCAATCCTCCCACCCTGGCTTCCCAGAGTGTTAGGATTACAGGCATGGCCAAGTATTATTTATTTATTTTTT